ACCCACACCCACACCCATTAAGATCATGGTCTATTGGTTTAGATAAACGATTATCATCACGTAATAAGAATTATTCATTAAATTATCGAAAACGTCTTATTCAATACGCGTCATATGATTGTCTATCATTAATGGAAATAATATTATTTCTGGAGGAAAATTATTTATCTAATCTTCATGATAATGATTTACATATTCAATCATTAGGGGAGTATTTTTTTATTTAACTGCAAAATTTAGTCCTTTTCCTTCTTCCTTTCAGTTAGTTAACAATAGTCAAATGTATGAATTGTTGTTTGACGATGAAAGTGATGAATCTATGACTGGTGATGAATTATATGAACGTCATCAGATTTCATCTGAAGCTCAAACAGATGAACAAAATTTGAATATATTTTTACCTCCAGTTGAACCTCAACCAAGTGAACAAATTGATCAAATTCAGCAAGAAATTAATTGTTATATGTCTAATGATCAATGTTTAAGAATTGATCCACAATCAAATAATTATGAATATGATATAGATATTAATTCATCTGAAGAATCTAATCATTATCATCAAGAATTGGAAAGGAATTATCATGCTCAAACGAATAATTTTGATGTTATTTCTAGTGCTTTAAATAAAACAAAAAGAAAACGAACAAGATCTGAATCTGCACGAAAGAGAAGAAGTCAAAAATCAAGTATACGACATTGAAAAAATCGATATACCTTTGAAATTATACGTCCTGTTAATATTACCATAATCAATGTAAAGAAAATTTTACGTTTCTATGCTGTACCTTATATCAACGTTAATATAGTTCAATCAACACTTTATATGGGATTAACGTCACAAGATTTCAAGGATTACTTCAATCAACTATTACCAATGGACATATTTATTTAACTTTTGTGGGGGAGAAGATGTCAGGATCTGCCATCTATATATATATATACAGTAAAACCTCTATTACTGAACACCCCTCCTTAATGATCAACCTGTCATACTGAACGCTCTCCGGTCCCTCCGAGCGATTTTTGGTGGTTTTGACCCCCTCCTTACTGAAATCCTCGCGATTCTGAATGTGAACACTTTTTTATGGCCCCAACTGTATAATTTTCTTCTGTAATGTGAACGTTATAGAGGGCGCCGTTAAACTTTGAATTAGCACAATGTATCTCATTGGCTAGTTTTGTGATTGGCTTAGAGAGAAATAGAGAAAAAAAATAATTTTCAATCTCGTCTATACACAATTGAATTACGTCTTGTATGTTTATATGTTAATGTTAAATTATTAAATATGTCAACTCGTCATGAACTTTGTTCAGAACAAAAAATTAACCTTATAAAAGAGAAAGAAAATTGACTTTCTCATCGACTATTAAGTGAAAAATTTATCAAAACAAAGATCCATCTTGGAATATTTTAAATATACACCTGATCCACATACTTAAACTTTTGATACTTAAAACTTTTTTCTCATATTGTATATGGAATGTACAAATTTAATGAATAAAAATCTGTTGGTCAATAGTAAAAGATGAAAACATGTGGTTTGAATTAAAAAAAATTTTTTTTTGCATGATCCCCCTCCTATATGATCATCCCATCATTATGAACGATTTAGGAAAGGCCCAGTGGTGTTCAGAATAGAGAGGTTTTACTGTAGGTATATACATAGATGGCGATCCTTCAGACGAACATATATAGCTATACATGTTGGTTATTTTTGTTGTTCTTCGTGGTGAATCGTGTGTGTGCTCTCTCTACTATTATCCGTTTCAAAATATAATGTGCTCCACTGTTTTTTGAATAACTTTTCATAGGAACATTGTAGAGACCTGCGGTTTTCGCCATTCGAGAGAGGACATCGGGGGACACCGAAACATATTCGAAATTTGATTGGCCAGCTATTAGTCAATCAGGTAAGTTGTAGGTGAAACTTTTGTGAACGATATTCCAAAGTGATTTCTATTTTGATTTTGACTTGCAATATAGCCACTCGGTAGAGAAAATTGTTCTCTTTCGATTTGCGCAAGGTCCAACTCTCTACATTATTCCGTTTATGAGTTATAGGCGTTTTCCTGAGACCCCCCGAAATCAGTCAAAGGACCTAGGACCAAGGCGATATGAGTCACAACAGAGGTAATCGACCACTCTGAGTCCAATGGCGATGTTGGTTTTTAGTTTCGAAGTCATTCGAAGCTACTAGGCCAGAATTCTTTTATAATGACACTCAATAGTTGGGATAACAAAAAAATAAAATTTGAAAATCCTGGCCTAGCAGCTTCAGATGACTTCAAAACTAAAATCGAACATCGCCATTGGACTCAGAGTGGTCGATTACCTCTGTTCTGACTCATATCGGCTTGGTTCTAGGTCCTTTGACTGATTTCGGGGGGGTCTCAGGAAAACGCCTATAACTCATAAATGGAACAATGTAGAGAGCTGGGCCTTGCGCAAATCGAAAGAGAACAATTTTCTCTATCGAGTGGCTATATTGAAAGTCAAAATCAAAATAGAAATCACTTTGGAATATCGTTCACAAAAGTTTCACCTACAACTTACCTGATTGGCTAATAGCTGACCAATCAAATTTCGAATATGTTTCGATGTCCCCCGGTGTCCTCTCTCGAATGGCGAAAACTGCAGGTCTCTACAATGTTCTTATGAAAAGTTATTCAAAAAACAGTGGAGCACATTATATTTTGAAACGGATAATAGTTAATGAAACAAACATCGAGTTTTAAAAGTCTTTGAATAAATGCACAATAAGAATCGTGTCAAAGTAAATGGAAGATCCTATAAAACGATAAATAGTTCTATGATAATAGATGATCTCTACGCATAATCATTCAATGAATCAAAATTGTTTGTACGAAGAGTATGTATGCTAGAAAAAAAGTAAGTTCAATAAAAATCAGACGTGAACATCCCGAAAGTATGTACAAATTCATGAGTTCGCTTACGTAAGATTCTTGTATGTTTTTCAATCAATCCTGTTACTTCACTATACATGACTAATTTAGCAACTCCCTTATTTTCTACAGACGTTACCAAGTTTTTCAGAATTCTCAATGCATAAAGATGAATCGGAGTCGATTAAGAATGGCGGCTTTAAAAAAATGACCAAAATTTCAACGACTCAGGCAATGGTATTTTAGATATACCAAAGTTACTGATTGTAAGCTATAGTCCTTGACTATATCTTTAAACATGAAAACATGCTTCGAATTATCGTCAAGTGTAGAGTCAATAGTAATTAGAGTGATCTTAGTTTTCAGATAGCTGTTAGTATGAGTCAATCGAGCTGTTAGCCGTGAAAAGGTCGATGATCGTGAAGCCTTTTGTAATTGAGTCATTCATTTAGTAGCCTGTACAAATGCCATCTGGTGCATGAGGAATTAGATCAATTTCGTTTCCCAATGATTTTCATTATCGAAAAACAGAATTGATCGAAAATGACGTGCTACTTGTTGACCAGTTTCTTGAACATAAAAATGCGTGTTAAGTCACCGTTTCATGCAGCAAATTATTGCAAAAAAATCTACTGAACTTCAAATGTTTTTCTGAAACGCATTCTCAATGGGAAATCAATAAATTGTATCATTGCTATTCCCAATATTCATACAACAATATTATTGATGACGCTTTGTTTTCTAGTTGAAATTCACCAATTAGTTTCTCTTTTAGCTTAGAATGATGCTTTTTACGTTACTCAAGTACAAGAAATCGAGGTACATATTTCTGTGTCCTTTCATTTTTGCCATTTTGCTACCATGACGAATCATGTTTAAATAAATCGCTGTCAGAAACAGAAATTTGAAGCGCTTGCAAGAGCTCACTGTCTCGGTCGGTTGTTCCAAACCGATATAGAAATCAACTTTCAAACAGTACATCGTCAGCATTGTTAAATAGATTTATACGGTAGATTATTGAGTGAAAACGAACCCATCATTGTTGCTGTTATGAAATCGTATTTTTCACTACTTCATCATGCACCAGAATCAAACTATTTCAAATATATTAGGAGAAAAACAATGAGAAAATTTCACTGGGTACACAACACAACATTTATTACTGTATAGTAGAAATCGTTCTAGCTATGTGTTTACCAATCAACGTGGCATATGTAATGTTTCAGGAGCAACATTATTTGTTCTTCGTCGCCAGCATGAAAATAATTTCCTAATCTTCTGATGAAGTTCGGGTAATGATGCACCACACAAAAACGGAAATAAAAGATCGCCATGATAAGAGAAATAATCTGCATATACCATGAAATCAGCTCCGAACTCTTCGGAAACTCCACAGGCGTATACAAATTCGAGGAGCATCTTTGGAATATATATTATAAGATATAGAAAGGAAATCGACAATAATTGAATGGCCATTTTTCGATGCTTATGCCAAGCAATGCGTTGATGAATGCGATATTTTTGATACAAGACCCGTACGAGTAGACTGATACTAAAAATGATAATGATGATGGAGGGTATAAGATCGTGAACAGTGACGTCCCACAAGGCTATCACTTGATTTTCGTAAAAGCAAAGAGGTTGACCACACACATGTTGAGTGTAATCGAATGTATTTTCACAGGGTGGAAAGATAATGATAATAAAATGAAAACCAAAACAGTAGAGAAGAAGTAAGACTAGGGGAAGAATATGGAAGACAAATAACTTCTTTTTGGTAGATACCCATCGATCATGAAAAATCAAAATATGTCGTTCAACTGTGGCCCAAGCAACGAGTATTGTCGTTGTGATATACAGTGCTTCATTAATGTACATCCAGGCAAGACAGAAACTGCTTGTTGCTGGCCAGACTTGATCCAAACGATAGTAATTAAGAGTCCATGGAATGTCTGTTATTTTAATAATAAGATTAATGAAAATAAGTATGATAAATACATGGTTATGGAGAGCATGACGTAACAATCGATCAAAGATAAGATGATAGAGAAGGAATAAAGAACAGACAATCGATGGTATTTCAAAAACAAGTATTAACCAAAATAGAATGGAACGAGGAATCGCAATCTCATGAGACGTACGCGATGTATAATCTTTCGATACGGCAACTTCGGTTAACATTTTCTAAAAGTAAAATTACACAATACATCCTTCACGCCTAAAGAATACAAGTTGACGTCAAAGGCAAATGAAGTAATTATAAATTCACTGAATGACATATGGTGTTTACATCGAAAGAGTTAATAGCTATCAGAAAAGTTGCATTTCATTATTTTCAATTCTTGAGTAAGTTTCAAATAGTTTTAGACGAATTCACGAGAGTCTTATTTCTGTAAATGACTGTACTAATTGTTAGAAACAACAGGAGATATCAAGTAAATAAGAGTTCGAACAAAGTGCTTCTTTTTTAAAAGTGTTGAATTCTTGAGAAAAGTAAAATTATTCCCGTTGAATATATTATGTTGGAGCATCGAACTTCGAAGCTGTACTTCGCTCAGGCCTACTCAACAATGGCAACTATGAAAAGCTGATTAGTCTCTTTTCACGAAGTGGATTAATATGATCAAAATCAAACTTGTTTCTGCTCAGACGTGTTAGGTTTTATATTTTCTTTTATTTCAATAATATGACAAGAACCTAAGCCTTTCACAAAAAAGAAAGAAAAAACCAAAACAAATATAATAACCACAAAAACATAAAATTGAAAGATCGACCTTAAATCACCATCCTCAATAG